GGGGGAGGGGGAGGGAGGGGGCAGAGAGCGGCAGCGGAGCAATGTTGCGGCAGAGTTGAGTTTTATTCTCTGAGTAGAGATCCGTGTCACTACACGATACGCATGGGCTAACCGACCGGCGATGGGCGGCTGCGGCTGCGCCCCCCCGGCCAGGCTGCTGGGTCCCTCCCCCCTTCCCCTCTCACTCACTCTATCCTCTCTGCTGCTGTTGTCATAATCAAAGGAGGGAAGGGGGCGGCCGTAAATGTTACACGGATCATTCATACCGACTTTGGCCGCGATCCAGAGGACCTTGCTTTATTCAATCGTCCGGATTGTTATCGCATTCGGCCGCACTTTCAGGGATGTGTGCGCGTGTCCGCGAGCCTCACGGTTCGCAACGTTAAAGCAGAAAATAACATCTGAGCTGTGCCGGGCGGGAGGGCGGATATCGGAAAGTTGGGGGCATATGACGACAATTCCCATCACAACGAGAAGACAAAGCTGGATAAAGTCACAGGTCTGCTTTAAAATAAACTTGCTTTCCAGATAGATAATTTCTGCTCTCCGCGGTCTACTCTACACTTATGCATAATGGGTTGGTGTTACGTTGCAGAGCAGTGTACGTAGATGCTGCCACCATGCACTGCGCCGCCCGGGCCGGCCGGTGAGCCGTGGGGGATCAGATCATGAATGTCAATATGCACTCCCTGCTCTCACACGCCCCGCGCCAAGCCCACCAAGCCTGACCCGAAGCGTAACCGATTTCACCGTGTTGTTCATGCGTTGACATCGCGGCAGAGAGAAACATTGGCACGATAGCACGGGGAAGCAGGTACTCGACGCGAAGAGATTATAAAGACATTTCAAACGATATTTAGATGAATGCATCGATCGGAATATAACCTCAGTTCGTAAACGAGCCGGGTGCCTACAGCCAAAGAACGTGCACTCGGATTACCCGGCAGCAATAAGTTTCACGCAGTTTCGCGTAAAGATAGCTGTGGCGGGGTGGGCGGGGCGGGCGGTGTGCTGCGTCCGGGCGTTCCTCGCGCTCACGGTGTGGCGCCCCCCATAGTGTGACCCGGCCTCCCCAGGCCCCCTGCGTGGCGCGGCGCGGGCGCAGCGTTCCCAGGCTGGCATGCGGCTGCGACTGGACGGCGCGGCGAGGCGCCAAGAGAGCTTGTCACCAACGTCACAACGGCGCGGAAACCCAACCTGACTGGACTCTGGGTACGTGTGTGTGTGTGTGTGTGTGTGTGTGAGTGTGTGTGATCGCTCCGTCTTTCGGGTGGTCGTCCCCACCCCACCCCTCTCATCCTGGAGGGCCCCCGGCGCCCCATATAGCCGCCCGTAGCACGTCTTCACTTGCCCACAAACTCTCCCAAATGCTCAGTCACGGTCCTCACGGTCCGCCGCCACAGAGGTATCGACAGGCGGCACTCCGACGACCACAACACGTCTGATCTACCTCCCCCCTCTTCTCTTTGTAACACACACACACATGCCTGTTTGGTGTCGATCGCCAATGACGTCTCTTTTAGTCCGTGCGGCACCTTTTTACCTTTTTAGTTACGTCAATAGCTGGACTAGACTAAAATGCGTGGATTTTGATCGCTTAGGCACCTCATTCTATTCGCGTGGCTGTCACCCACTTGGAGTAAGAGGTGCGTGTGCTCTCTGTAGCTTTGGCCGCGGGGCGCCGCCGGTCTCGCAGTTCAGGGACCCGGGAAAATTTTCGGAAATTTTACAGAAAAAATAAAAAAGTTTCCGAGACAACGGAAAATTTACCAGATCCCGAAAATTTTCTGCTTTTTACTGGAAATTTTCGCGAATTTCCCAAAAATTTTCCGTAAATTTACCGAAATTTTTAGAGATTTTTCTAGAAATTTTCGGAAATTTGCAATTTTACTCGCAGTTCCGCCCCCCACCCCGTCACGCACCGTGCGTTGCGCCTGAGAACGCGTGCCTCGGCCTAGAGCGCTGGCCGCGCTAATCAATCACTCCCCATTAGCAGCGTCCTGTTTGGGACGCCGCGTCTTGTTCTCAACAATTAACAGCGTGTTCACACTTTGGCGACGCCAACACCAGCCACGCCCCCATCGGCCGCGATAGGCTTATTGGCTTTCGAGTTGACTCTTATTTACAGTGTCGGATGCCACAGATTTCGTGCGCGATGCATTTCGTTGTACGATACGCAACGTTGTAATACAAAGAAATTTAATTCGATATTTTAGGTCGATTCGCGGACACGAAACATTCTCACGATGATGTCCAAGACGACGGGAGATTGTTTTGAATGGATGGCTAAATACACTGGAAAAATAAAGGCAGGCCTTTAACGATTTTAATGCCTTTACAAAGGCATTCAAATTTAACACCCCTAGAAAGGCATTCAATCGTTTGGTTTTACAGTGTAATGCTCTTCTAAGGATATTTACGATTATTTGCTGTGCCCTGACCTTTGGCGCGAATATTTCTTTACCGACTCATTTCCGTCACTCTGTGTGCATTTTCCATCTCGTGTCCACTCCACTCCCATTATTCCATTTACATCGTCCCACCGAAAGTCCCTCTTCCCCCCACCTCCTGCCGTGCGCCGCCCCCGCCCCCGCCCCGCGCCGCCCTCCGCGCACAGCACTTGCCCGGTGCATTTGCCGCCGCCACCCCAAAACCCGAGCCGACCGCAACTCTCAGCCGTTTGCTTATCGCTATCGGCCCTTCACATCGCCGCGCGGGGAGGGGACGCCAGGGGCCGAAATAAGGAAACAGAAAGCGCGCCAAAGGGATGCTTAAAAAGCATCGACAATGTACAAGACATTTTTAAAAATAGATTCTTCAAATTCTCAAAATCTCTCAACTATTTTTCATTATAGCCCTCGAAACCCTAAAACCTTATAAAGACAAAGTGCCATTGCTGTTGACAAGTTTCTGTTCTGGACTATGTATGCTGCTCTGTGAAAGGAATCGAAATCGAATCTGATTGCATTCTCGCCACCTAAGGCCGACCCTAGCTCATCACCACTACCGGAGAGCTGAACGCTGGGGTGGGCGGACTGCATGCAAGCGCGAGTGCGCACGTGGTCCTCGGGGGCGGCGCGGGGCGGTGGTTGGGCACAAGAGGCCGTGTTGTTGTTTTTGCCCTCGCCTGTACCTCGGAGGTGTGAGTCTGGTGGTT